GTTCAGCATGATTTTTAAAATAATTAAATAAATCCCCGATATTATCTTTGAATTGAAATAATAAATACATTAAAAACGCCATTATTCTTGAAGGTAAACTTGTATTTTTTAACTTTAAAAATCTCATCCACATATAAAAATGATGAAATGAATGAAATAAAAAAAAATTATATAATAACAAGATGAAAAATTTTCCTTAAATCAATATTGCAAAATCTTAATAGTTCTATTAAATACTTTGAATTTGCTTTATATAAAAATATACGTTAAGTATATATAGAACTTATTACCGTTAAACACAGTTGTTTGCATGCTAATTAGGTATTTAATTTCACTAAATAACAAGTGCAATGCAAATGCTTAAAACATCTGAATTAAAGTTCCCAGAATAGAAATCAATACTAAAATTGATACATATATGTAGATCACTGTTTTTGACTTCCTTTACCAGTTATTCTGAGAATAAAAATAAATAAGTTTTTGTCAAACCACTGACCAGACAGTGTCTGGTCAAACCAAGACTTCACCGCATTTCGTGCTTTTAGCAATGAATGAAATGAAAATTTTAAAAAGCCCCTATGTTAATACTCTAGTGTTAAAAAGAATTTCTTGGGTTTAATATTTGAAAAAAAAAAATAAATAAATAAAATATATAAATAGGTGGAAATTAAAAATAAATTATTTTTCAATTTAATCTTAATGCAGGTATCGATGCATTCTGGCAATATCGATATCTCATCATCGATGTCCTAAAACATCGTAACGAAGAATATATCGATTTCACGTTCATCGCTAACAGAAAAGGTGAGCAAGCAAATGTAAAAAAAGCAAGCAACAGCAGGCGTGTGGTGGCGAATTGTTTATTAAAGTGAGTAATAGTTTAGTTGAATACGTGAATAAAAATAACTTACAAACTGTTGACAGTATTCGGCTGTGTGGTCAATAGTATCTGTGCTGCGCAAAGAAACCAGTTTTAAAGTACCCCCACTCGACTCGCAGAATTCAGTGTGTAATAAAAACAAAAACAAATTTTATTGCGTCGTCGCCGTGTATGTATGTATGCTTGTGCATCTCTTTAATATTCAAATTACAAAACATAATATTTTGTGCCCTAACTGTAACAGTTCCCAACTCCGATAGCTAGGGGTTCCAGTGATATGTCCCATTGTTTAGTCCACGTACCCATTCGTATTTCGCTTGCTAGCG